ACTTGACGTTCTGGACGAGGCCCTTGATGCAATTGGAGTTGTGATTGATGAATAGGAAGCAGTCTCAAAAAACTTGAAAAAGAACTGCCTCACTTCAGCACAGTTTTGATTCACCCCTCAGTATGTCCTCGGGGAATAAATTCCCACGCACAACGCCTACGATACATCATGGACCCAAACACGCGGTGGCGAACCCGTGTCAGAGGTATCTTCTCTAGAATTTTGTATTTATTTTGAGTTTGTGACGTACTTTGAAAACCAAAATCGCAATTTTTCACATTGTCACTTAATTATTCTGTTTTTTCTGAGGAAATCCGGATTTTTTGGGCTTGAGTACGGTACTAATAAATAGAAGACCGGACTCTAATCGGGAAAACCCGTTATAACAATAAAATACAGTCTCGGTTTTAAACAGAAGTGTTCTTTGTCTTGATAGGGCTTAAGTACTTAAAAGTAGCGGATTTTAATCCGCTACCCTTGTACTAGTTCTTGGAAAGAAAGTAAGGTCGGTGACCTTAGCTTAGCTTCTAATAAGCAAAGAGCTACGGCAGCCCCGCTGCACGCTTTGTCTGCACTACTTTTCCTTTCTCCACACACTTACCACATCGCAGCACGTGATAGTACATAGTGATGAAAACCTGGAATACATAATACTATTCGAGGCGCATGATAACCCCTTTTGGTGTCCAACTCGAAAGATAAAAGACATGGTGTTCGATATAAGCCCACCTTGCATTGCTAGAAGCTGCAAGATTATTTAGTCAGGGCATTGATTGCAGCGCCAACCAAGTCACACAGACGCAAGAAAAACTCATGTTAGTAATCGAATCGGACAGGCGATTAGTAGAGCGAGCGGGGAAGCGGATGGTACTTAGCACTTCTTACCGCAACCTGGATAATTTACGTAAAATATAAAACTTAAATTTATCAGATTCTCTTTGGAATGCTTAAATTTCTGAGAACAAAACGATTTGTAAGAGCGTCTCTTTATGAGTGGCGGTCGCATTAGCCAGCCCGTGGGCAAGATTGTGCACACGAATGTAGCTGTAGTACGTATGCGCAAAGGCGGAAAGCGATTTGAGATTGCATGCTATAAGAATAAAGTATTTAATTGGCGTAACGGCGTGGAGAAAGATATCGATGAGGTGCTGCAAATTGCGAAGGTCTACGAGAATGTACCTAAGGGTAAGTTTGCCAAGAAAACTGATTGGTCCGCAGCTTTCGGTGTGCAAAATGAAGAGCAGGCATGTCGTTACATTCTCGACCATGGAAATCTTCAGGTTTCTGAGGGAGAGCGCAAAGCGCTTGTCGAAAAGTAGGATCATTTGTGCCTGTGCTTCACTCTAGAAAGTCTATATTACCTCGTGTATTTCACTCTTTTTTGCAGTATGTACCGTGATATTGCAACAATTGTGGCCGATAAGTGCGTTAATCCGAAGTCTAATCGTCCGTACCCATATACAGTGATCGAGCGCGTGATGAAGGAAATTCACTATGCTGTCATTCCAAATCGAAGTGCCAAGCAACAGGCGCTTGAACTTATTAAAAAGCTACCGGATTATATTCCAATTGCGCGTGCCAAGATGAAAATTCAGGTGACGACGCCGGCGTCAGGTGCACAGACGATCAAGACAGGGTTGCTGGAGGAAGGTGCTGAGATTCTGGAGCAGACTGGTCAAGAAATTGTCAACGTGATCGCGCTTATCACTCCAAAATCGTATCGTATTGTCAATAGGCTCGTTAACGAACACACTGTTGGTCAAGGTTTATTGGAAGTGATTGATTTGAAGGATCATAAAGAGGGCGAGCACACAATCGATGATGAAATCTCACAGAAGTCGGAGCATCTTGGACTGACAAGTGCTTCTAGTTTTACTGCTGCGACCGTACTGGCACCACTCGCTGCTGTCAGTAGTCAGGTAAAAAAGACACGCCCTTGTAGCACGTGTGGCGGCGACTTTAGTGGAGATTTGAACAAATACCGTGATCATTTTCGTTCTGAATGGCACCGTTACAATCTCAAGCTCAAATCGAAGAAGCAGCCAGTGATAAATGAGAAAGAGTTTAGCAAGCTTGATACCGAAAAGATCGAGACGATTCTCTCATCTATGAGCTAATTTGATATACCATCTAAAATGATAATCGGTATGCAGCAAAGGTTCTATCTAAATCGCTATCAAGAGGGGTGGCAACATAGCTTTTGAGCGATCGTCTGCACGTTGGCTCCAATCTTTTTCGAATTTGTCTTTCTGTCTCGGTACGATGTGCTAGCAAAATCGTCGCTGAGCTCCCTCCAGAGATATTTGCAGCACATGTACTGTGAGTACACGCTCATCTTCATCATGAAGTAAATAGTAGTAGGACAATCTGAATTAGGAGTATTTTTTCGCCATTATTTCTCATTTCGAGCACGTTGCATCTTGCGCGCTCCAGCAAGTACCGCAACGTTCGACCAAAGTTACTATTCACAGCACGCAAAACCTGCTTTTGATTGTATCGATAGATCAGATCTCACGCGTTTGCATTGACAATGTTTCATGTCACGTTTTCGTCTAAACCGGAATGATTGAAAGCTAAGCAAGTGGCGGTGTTTCTAATCAGCATTTCCCTTTTTCTTTACTTGCTTTCTATCTCCACCACTGCACTCGTCGTGACGGAACAGGTGCTATGTGGTAGATATGACGTTTGTTACCGCAACTACTAGTCGAATGAGGAGAAGTAGACGTTTTTGCACTTTTTTTTGATCTAGTCCGATATCATTAGAATCAAAACAATGCTTGAACATCAACCTTGTAGTAACAATGCAAATGATATACTAAACAAAAGCTGGTTTTCGTTATTATGGTGTGAGTCACATTTTGCTGCACAACTGATCAATCCAGTTCGCCATCAGAACGCATGGCACATCAAAGACACAGGAAGTCGTTTTATCTGGAATTGTGCATTACATCAGTGGTGGCATGCATTTTAACAAAGTGTGAGCTCGCGGATGCGTCTGAGTGTACCGCCTGTGGGTATTTGGCTAAAAATTGTAGCGACGCGGGCGGTAAAGACAGCGTGAATGTGTGCGATGCATTCGGTACGATCCAAATCGACGACGTTTTCTGCAATGACAACGAATGCCAATGCAGTAAAGGCCATCACTGCGTGAGTACCGTTGTGGGATGTACAAACCTGTTCCAGTCGCGCAATCGCCGGCGTTGTTTGGGCAACGAAACGTTAGCACAACGCTTTAAGAGATGCGCTATGGACCAAGGACTGACGACGTTAAATGCAACGAATGTTGCCAGCGACTGGATTTATTTTAAGCAAGGGAAAAAGTGTCAGTCTATTGACTGTCTAGCAGTTCGAATGTTCCATCAGAGTGACCTTGCACAATGTGGTCACTTGCTGGCCGTATGGAAAACTAAATCGTCTGATCGTGAACCATCGGAAAGCAATCATAATGGTGAAATGACCTACCATTTCGTCGCGGATGGCTCGCGCGGAAGCGACTTGAAAGCTGGCACGTTTCTGTACTCGGTCCCATGGTCCACGGAGAGTGTAGTGCTGTTGTCAAAACAAGCAAAGTCGTCAGCTATTGACCCGTGCTACACCCTTCAGACGCGAAATCAGCCGAATGCCACGTGTGAAGGAGTGTATTTGCAATTTGATGCCAGTGTCCGATTTGCAAACAGCGATGAGTACGTTATGTCTAAGCTAGACTGGCCCGTGTGGTTTGTAGTTGTAGGAAGCGTGGCTGCAGCAATTGTCGCCGTTGGTGTCGTGGCAGTAGTAGTGTACCGCTCGCGGCACGTGACCTTGACTCCGCCTGTGAATCCACACGAAGATGATGTTCTTTTGTGTAAGCCAAGCGATCTTCGTGATTGCGAGATGTCGAACCCCATCAACTCTGTTACTTTGGGGCCCGTCACAATGAGAGATTACGGAAAGGATTTGCGTCAGCGCGGATCAGTAGCTCTCGACGTTACACAGTTGGAGGCTGCAGGTCCTTCTTAGTACATCGTATCATACATATTTTGGCAACGCAGAATTTTATTTTCATTTTGAAGCTCCAAAAGCTAAAACCCACAACTATTGTGGGCGTAATGTTACTCTTTCCAGCAACCTCAGTAGACCCTTCGATCATGATTAAACCGATGTTAAATTATTTTTTGTTTAAGCATGACAGCATGACTCACCGCAATCAAAGGTTTTTGCCGTTGTTCAGTTGTGAATTGTCCTCGTATACCATCAACAAGAAGCTGAGTTAGCACGTGATCGCCTTGGACAGCGCTGCGTAGAAGTTCGAGGAATTGCTGCTCACCAGCCGATATTTTAAGACCGCTGACTTCCCCTGCCGACTCAATACAATGCAACGCAGCACCAAGCAACTCCAATGATTGACATTGCGCCAGTAGATTCGACTTTTTGTATCGCAGTTGAGCTAGATGTAACTCTTTTAGGGTCAAGTGTGGTGGCAAATTGGCATCATTGGAAAAAAGTAGCGAATATCGTTTGGCAGACATTCGCTCATTTTCAGCTTGGCGAAGAGCTAATTTTCGTATTCAGACCTTATAAACATAACTGGAAATACGCATTGAACAAAAAGAAATACCTACACCTACCCAACTGATATCCCAGCTTTACCGCAAGACCTTTTTTCATCCTCGTAAAATCGTATGTAAGCTGTTCAATTGCTCGGCGCTTGACTTTGACGCGGAAGATCATTCTATACAAAGATCACTCATCAGAACCAAACTCAGCACTATTGCTGCCACAGGTGTACCTGCGTTGTAAGCTTTTGTTTGTCGCCCGTTCGATCGTTAAATTTCCGCTCTTCCTGCGTATTGTGATGATGTGATTTCCTGATCTGTGTGTTTGCGGGGCATCCAATTGTTTTCTGAAGCGACGGCCTCCATTTGTATCAAATGGGTAGCAAATGCTTCTGGGTTTTGTAAGACGATGAGTCTGACACTGTAGCCCACGATACGAATCGAGCGACAAATTGTCTCTCTTATCGTCAATTTTAAATCCAGCTCGCGCTCTGGATATAGCGATCTGAGCCGATTTGTGCTGGCTATGACCGATAGCCAGCAGCTCACCTTTCTCAGTAAATTTATGTGCAGGTACTTCTCCAACCATTCGGCGTCTGAAGATACTAGCAACAGTTGTCGCCTGGGTGTCAATCTCACGCTCGAATTTGTCACCTCGTGCTTTATCGTTACTTTTTGTATAACGTACTGAAGTACTTTGCTGGATGCTGCCATTTTCGCTCATAATGGAAGAAGCGGGATCGTCTGAATGCTGTTTTCGAGAACGCCAAAGTCGAACAACTGTGAAAAGGAAAAATTATCATTCTGCACACAGAAGAGATAAATTTGGTGAGGTACGTACATCTTCTAATAACAACCACAGCACGCCTTTTTGCTTCTCGGGAGTCATGGAGAACTCTCAAACGATGTTTGTAAAGTACTGTATTTGTCTTGCTGGGTAAGGTTTCTTTTCCATTACAGGAAGTATGAAGTTGAAGCTTTGAGACTGGACAAGCTGGCGTGATTTGTGGAGATGCTGCATTATATTGTCCCCTCTGATCTAAGTTCTCGGATTTAGTTTCAATTATAACTTTTCGTCGTCGCATCCAAGGAGAGCTACGCAATATAGTGTCAAGTTTTGTTGCCAACTTACTTACGCTACTAGTGCGATCGATGTGCTGCGAAGTTGTAATTGCGGTTGTGACCGGACTCCACCCCATCATAGTTCTCGATGTCCCTGTAATACTCTCCGTCTGTAGCTTGCGTCTTGTCAAAGTAAATGCCGGTTTCTTTGTCACACCCAGTCCACTTGTTGCGGCAGGAAGCAGCGCTAGGGTCGTTGATTCTATTAAATTGCACCGCGCGTACAGCCCGCAAACCCCTGATGCATTTGGTTCCAATTGATTACTTGTACCCACTGTGGTTCCTAAACGAGTTTCCGATCGACCATCATTCGAAGGCTTCTGTGTATCCGGTCGATGAGAAATATTATGTTGATATTCAGGAGGTCGTGGCCAAAATTCTCTCCCTTTCCAAGCATTCCTGATGTGAGTTCCCAAGCAATGCAAGAAAATTAAAGGTGAGGTGATGCATATATACTTAAAAAGTGCATCAGTGATCGTACCGACAGGCAACACGACGTTGATCTGCTCTATGCACAAATTTCTTCAACAATTTGCTTCCATCCTGTGGTGATTTCGGGCGAGACGGTTCCATTTTTCAAACTCTTGGCATTATAATAGGAATGCTGTCTATAAATATACCATTTGAACTAAAGTATGGTACTATGATGAGGTATCACGACCAGTACTGGTACGAATGACGAAGGGTTTTGAATTGTATAATTAAGCGCTTAAGCTGACTTATCTGTCTTTTAGTTACAATTCCGTAATTTGCCAGCTACCCCACAAGTGAACAGAGACGAGCCCAAGCCCGCTCTCCCACTTTCAAGCCGACAAACAGCCAACGCTCCGCCCCCCCGTTTACCCGGGTCGTTTCGATCACATGCTCCCAGCTTCCGAAGTTTTAGTCATTCAGACAGTCAGGCGTCTACAGTTTACTGTAGGCTCATCCCTGCTGACTGACAAGAACTATGTGCGCTAAGTCATTCCCGAAAGGTATTGACTGGATTTGCTCCAACGAGTGGAAAAGAGCATACTGCAGCGGGGCTGCCGTAACAAAACGCTTGAGAAAGCGTACTTAAGGTCACCGACCTTTCGTTCTTTACAAGAACCAAGTATGAGTTAGCG